TTGGACAGACAGGTTGTCCCCGAAGGCTAATCAACAGTAATCCCTGACAGCCACATGCAGGGAGAGATGGTGTGGCCACGTCAGATCAAATTCGAAAGCATCAGGGGACAAAGGAATCATAAACAAGAGACAGAGCTGCAACTGCCTGAGCACAGAAAGAATGAGTCATCCCGGGGAGCGCGTCAGCGGCTTGCTGTGGCCTCCCAGACACCGGCGGCCCGAGAGGAGCTCCGGCACTGCTGGGCCGTCGTGTCCCTTCGAAGGGACCAAGGAAAGGTCTGCCGGACCTGTCGAAGGGCGTTCAGAAAATACCACCCCCAAATATGCCACTTTGGCATAAGGACTATTTTGAGCTGAATGCAAGTAAGAAACAGCAGACGCAGGAGGACCTCCTTGGCCTCGCCCTTCCTGCCAAGAGGCACGTTTCTGTTTGTGGAGGAGTTTATCCCTTCCATCTCCCAGACCAGGAGGGAGAACACATTGCCATCACTGGAGAGAGAAAGCAGGCATCACGATGGGGTCTGTACAAACAAACCTTGCTAAAATAACTCTGATCTTCTGTAAGTTGCTCCCCTGTATTTACCTTCTCACAATTTACCGCTCCTAAAAGCCCATATTCCTTTTTATCTTGTCCCTTTACCACAACTTAATTTCCCTTTTTAAAAGATCATATATAAGCTCTCAAGCTTAACTGCTTCTTCAGGATTTCTCTTCTTGCCCGTGAAGCTCCCGTGTGTATGTATAATAAACTTTTTCTCCTATTAATTTGGCTTTTTCTCCTGTTAATCTCTCCTGTTGTCACTTTAATTCACAGGCTCCAGTCACTAAACCTAAGAGGGTAGAGGAAAAGCTTTTTTCCTTTCCTACAGTTCCCTCTGAGGGCATGCACAGCAGGTACTCCAGGGCAATAGGAGAGGGCAGATGCCTCCCCAGATCAGGCTAGAAAAACCCGACAGGGGAGGATACCAGTCCTTGGGTGTGCCTGGACCCTCATACAGATAAGGAGAGATGGGAAGGTAGCGGCCACTGTGACAGTGGGTCTTACAGACAAAAAGGAGGTCATCAGGCAGCAAAGATTCAGTCTGTGTGTGTATGTATGGGAGGGGGTCCTAGGATGCCAGAACTTTCCAATAACAGTGGGTATTGGGGTGCGGGGAGAAAACGGTTTTTTGAAAGTGTATTAGTGATTCGATTCTGGGTTCTGTTGTTGACTTGGAAGGCAGACCTTGCTATATGGGGGCTGTGCCAGGGGGTATCAGCAAACGCTGGCTCCCCCCCTGCCCATGTACTGCCAGATCTGCCCCCCTGCCCCCAACAACCCAGACTGCCAGCACGAGGCACCACCCACCGTCTGCCACCCCTGCCTCTGCCTCTCCGACAGTGTTCAGAAGCGAGCCACGGAGCCGGCTGGGCCCCCACTGACGTAACCTGCTCCCAGCGGATAGCCTCCAGCAACTTTCGTGCATCGCTCTGCTTTCTAACCCCCTTTCAGCCTTCCCTCCATCTTTTCTTTCTGCTTCAAGTTCCGTTTCTCCTACTTGGACTTTCATACTTGCACCGTGTTTTTGGTGAGGATCTCTCGGTTTTACATATTTGTAGGCTAGAACACCAGAAGGGAATACAGTAGAATTCAGGTGGTGCATCTATGGGGGGAGGTACATTTTTCATATTATTATATTAACACCTTTTGTTGTAGTTGAAAAGATGTTCCAATAAGAGGTTCCCTTTTTTCCTATTGCTATCTCCCTGGCCCTCTTCCTTTGGTGGTGACCCTGAACAGGGGGTGGCCGAGAAGTCCTAGAGCTGCAACCTACACCTGAATGCCAGGAGGAAACGGCGCTAACGAGAAAGCAGGCACAGGTGGTGCAAATGAGGGGCACGGGGCCGCTGCTTAGTGCCGTGCATGTGACTGTCAGCGGGGCCCCAGGGAAGCTTCCAGGGCGCCGTCTCTCTCTTCTTCCTTAGCCTCACACCGCACGTCCCACTGGAGAGCCCCAACCTGGTGACCCAGGGTGAAACGGTTGGAGAAAGCAGAGCAAGAAGGAACTCTGCGCCTCTGTGAGTGGAGCCATGCGCCGTCCCCAGGAGCGGTGCCCCCACATCACCGTTTCTCCCCTTGCGTGGCTCGAGTGCTCCCCCTTTGCATTTGCATATGCTTTTCCTTGGTTCTTTAAAAAAGTCACCACGACCCACCAAGCACCCTGCCAGAACACTCCGGGACAGTTGTTTCTGCTAAAAAGAAGTTTTGGATGTATGGGGTGAGGATTAAATCCAAGTGGCTTGTGGACCTGAAGCTTGTCTGTCCTCGCTCCGCCCCACGGCCCACTAACCCGGGCTCCCGCCCCGTCTGGCCCTCTGAGGTTGGGCCACGGGGGATCTGCTTGCAGAGATCCAGCAACCTCGAAGCTTCAGGGGCTGGTGGCTTCTCCACAGCCTCATGTACGTCCTCACTCCTCCTAGGACACTGGAGCCCAGTCCACGAGCAACCTTTCTTTAACCCATCCACCCAGAACTGCCATTTTGGCTGCTGGGTTCCACTAGGAAGACTCAGTGCATGTCACCTACCATTTGACCTAACAAAAGCTCGTCAACAATTAAAGCGACCTGGAACCCTCCAGCTAGCTCACTGAAACGACCCTCCCTTCAGTACCCATTGTTTTCCTCTATGGTGATTTTTTTCTTTCAGCAGTAATTCTTGCCTCTATTTCCTTCCCTAAACGGAAATTTCATTTGCATTTTTTCACTTTTGCTAATTTATTTAAGATATTTGGTTTATTCTTCATATGGTTGGAAAGAACTAGTTAAAATCTTACAGTCGTATTATGCTGTTACGTATTTGGCCCCCTGGTTTTTCTCTGCTGACACTCACTTAGCGTCTCCGATTTTCAGTTAATATACCCTTGCTGGCTACTATGGAAAGGATATTTTTGTAGTATTTTTGGTGTACTAAAGAAGTTAAGTTTTAATTTCTGGTTTAAAAACACTGAACGAAGACTCTCTCTACCTGTATAATAATAAGTCTCCATGCCAGACCACGTCTACCATATCTATTTACCAATAAAAAGGGGAAATCTGTGAGATTACAGAACAGTATATGTTCATAAAGGTAAGATCTTAAAGACATTGTCTCAAAATGTCATGAAGAAAAAGGGCAATCCACAGACACGCATTGCATGATTAGGCATTCTCCCCTTTTCAAGTAGAACAAAAATGAATCAAGGTAAGAACAATGTGATAGTGAGATGTGGCTATAAATAAACGAGAATGAATTGTCTTGCAGACTTCTGTCTTTTCTTAGCCATTTGGCTTTCTCAGTAAGCAGCAGTTGTGTGGGGGGGGGTGGGGGGGATGGGAGGGCGTTTTCCCCAACCCCTCCTACAGCCCAAGCCAGACCTCCTGAGACAGCTACAGGGCACTTGCTTCCCCAGGGACCAAGGGGACAACAGTGTCCGATTTCCTACCTGATGTTCCACCATTTCACAGAATGTGCTGAGATAAGGGGGACTCTGGATACTGTCAATAAATTTACCTTTAAAGACTGTAAAATGAATATGGGAAAACCTTTTTCCTGGTTTCTCCACTGTCTACTTGCCCAAGAAATGTCAAAGGCAATTGCCTAGCTGATCATGCGACTCCTGGGAATGACCCTTTTGTTGTGCTATGTCTCGGCTGGCCGGACATCTTCCACAGGTTCCCTTTGGGCAATTTTATGTTAAGGAGGCTGAGGATTGGTGGTAGAGGAGCAAACAGGAAGGCCATTGTCCTAAATAGTTATTTCAGCTTAATAACCCCACGGTGAGGCTACTCATTAACTAGCCAAGCACCATAATAAACCCTGTATTTACATGAATACCTACCATTTATTAAGTGTCATATCCATCTTTTATCCACACTGATAACTGAGCCAAGTCCACCCTTGAAAATTAATTCATAGTTTATGTCTTGTTTCTTGGAACTGAAAAAGGCGTTCCGTTCAAAGTCTCAGTTGTTCCCACAGTAGCTTCTTGCCGGGAACAGGGCCAGATCAGACGGCGGCGCGCCTCCCTTCCCCCGCAGCACGCAAAAATCGGGAAAAGGATTTCCCCAAAGAATCAACACGCCAGCCACAGAGCCCGGGTCTCGCTGCTGCTCTGAGGCATTTACCACTGAATTTGTCTGTCCCACCGTGGGAAAGAAGCCTCACGGCGAGGACTCACGAGATGACAAGACTGACACGTTTTAATGGGCAGCACCACGCAGCCCAGGAGGCCTTCTGCGCTCCCTGAAAAGGCAGGCCCCGTGCCAGCCTTTTACGGCCCTGGGAGGTAACAGAAACAGAAAGAGACGAAGACCGGCCCTGCTGGGGAGGGGAGGCCGGGCGTTCAGGATGCGCTTTATCACTTGATCAAACTTCAACATTTTTCGATTTCCTGACACCCTAGCCCAAAATACACGAAAATAAGCAAATCCCCCCAAATTAAGAAGTCTTCTCCAGCCACACCTCTGCCCCCTCACCCTCCCGCAATTATTTCTAAGGCAATTGATTCAGCCAAAGCTCCCCCAATGCCGCTGGTTGCGCGCGGTGAGCGCAGCGGGTTTCAGCACCAGCCTCGGGGACAGACGCCATCAGGCCGCGGGGACGGAGCCCTCGCCCCGGCGTCTACTGTCGCCGCCGAACCGCTCAGAGGAAGGAGTCCTGGGAAACTGCGAGATCCCGAGGGCTTCTTCAAGCACGGGCCGGAAACATTTTCACAAATAAAACGACAACTAGCCACTCCAGCCCTTCCACTGCGGGGTCCTCTTCCACCGGGGACGTCCCCGCCCGGGGAACCGCGGGCGTTCGCGACCTACATATGGAAAGGAGCCCCCGGAGCCTCCCCCCCGCTCAAACCCCAGAGATCGGGAGACGCCGGCCACCCCGAGCCTCGCCCCCGCCCAGCGTTCGGAGCAGTCGGTCCAAGCCCGCGCTCGGGGTCGCTGAGGGCCCAGCCGCGGGTCGTGGGTTCGAGGGGCGCGCTCACCTGCCGGCGCCCACCGCCGACGCCCACCTGTGCGGCCGCGCGAAGGCCGGCTGGGGCGGCCGGCCGGGGAACCCCAGGTACGGGTGTCGCGTGCTCCACTGACGGCGGCGGGACGACGCGCGCACCAAACCGTGTCTCCAGTTGCAGGGACTTTCCCGCCCGAGTTGCCCTTTGGCTTCTGGCTCGCCCGGGACTCGCGAGCCAGGGCCGGGCCGTCCGTTCCCCCACGGCACACCGGGCCCGGCCCGCCGGCCAGATGCCCACTTACCCGGAGCGGGGCGCGCGGGCCGCGGGCGCCGCTCACGCGCGGGCTTTGTCTCCGGCGCGGCGCTCGCGGGGGGCGGCCAGACCGCGCGGCATCGCTCCTCGGCCGGGGGGCGGCTCCGACTCCGCGCCCCGGCTCCCGCGCGCCCCGGCGCTCACGGGCTCGCGGTGGGAAGGCGCGCCCCGCCCCGCCCGCCACCCCCGGGGTCTCCGGGCCGCGTCAGCAGCCCCGCCCGGGCCGGGGAGAGACGACGTGAGGCTGGGGGCGGGGGTGCGGGGCGCGGGGGGAGGGGCGTGAGGGGCGAGCCCGTGCCCCGCGCGCCACCGAAGTCACCCAAACCCAAGGTACTTCGTCTGCTCCCCGCCCCCGGTGCGGGGCTCCTGGACCGCGTGCGGGCCCGGCGGAGTGCGGGGCGCGGGACCCCGGACCCCCGCCGCCCTCCTTTTACGTTGGTCGCGCCCACTCGGCGGCAGGGTCTCGCCGGGCGCCCAGGAGGGGCCGGGAAATCCCGCCCGCCGCCGCCGACGTCACTGGTGCGTCACCGGGGCTCCCGCGCCAGGGCTCCGCGCACGCCCCGCGCCCCCAGCCTCGCGCCCGTCGCCCCGCCCCGCTCGCCCCGAGGCTGGCCGCGCGCCCCCGCGGGGCCCGGCGCTCCGGTCAGGGCGCGCGCTCCGCCCAGGGGCTGGGGGAGCCGGGCGGTGGCCGTGGCGGGGGGCGTGGGGTCGCGGGGCCGCGGTCCTCGCGGGATTCCTGCCCCTGCGCCTCCCGCGACCTCCCCCGAGCCTGGGGGTTAGTTCCGGGACCAGCGAAGCGGGGTGAGCCCGTTTCCAGCCGCCCCAAGAAATGTACCATCCGCCCCGGCCCCCGAAAAAGAGGCGAGTGGAGAGACGCTCCCGACCCGTGAGGATTCACAAGGCGCCGTCGCGCTCTCGGGCGCGGCGGGCGAGGAAGGGGCTGCGGAGCAGGCCCACCGCCGGGGCGCGGCCAACAGGGCGGGCGCGGGTTCCCCGTGCGCCGAGAGCGGGAGCCCGTTGCGCGGGGAGCCCGCGGCCGCTCCGCACCGCCGTTCCGCGGCGGGGGCAGTTCGGACCGCGTAACCATAGTCCCTGCGTCCGGGGGGGACAGCGTGGCCGCCGTCCGTGGCCGCCTGCGGGTGAGATGACACAGAGTCGCTGCAGCAGGGAAGCAGCGACGACGTTTCAGGCGCTGTGAGCGGGGTGGGTAGGAAAAGGAGGCCGAGGCGAGCTCCGTTCCTGCAACTATGTGAAATCATGGCCGACAGTTAGGACCTGTCGCCTGGAGATCTCCGTGCGCCGGCCTGGTCCACCGTCGGGCAGCCGCGCCTGGATGCACACGACGCAGGGATTACTTGTTTCTTAGATCTCGGATCCCCACGGACTTGACATTTGCCCCAGACAAATGTGCAGCTTTGCTGACTCGAGCGTCTGACGATGCAAATGCGGAGTTCAGAAGTGCCCACCTGGGGCCAGCAAACATCTCAAGTAGATTTTCTTCACAGCTTGCAAGTACCCATTTAAGGCGCAGAATTTAACTATGGTAAAAGGACGAAGGCCGTAAATATACCTACAGCACTGACCTTTTTTAAAAAGTAAGAAAGGTATATGGGTACTGCACTTAAAATTCAACAAATCCCAAACTGGATTCATTATTTTTACCCCCAGATATTTCTCCTGTATTTCTTTTTCTTTCTTTTTAAAGATTATTTATTTATTCGAGAGAGCAGAGCTTGAGAGAAGGGGGGGGAAGGACAGAGGGAGGGAGCGAAGCCGAACAGGGAGCCCCAGGCAGCTGGATCCCAGGACCCCAGGATCATGACCTGAGCCAAAGTCAGACACTTAACCAACTGAGCTACCCAGGCACCCCGTTTTCTCCTGTATTTCTTGCCCCTCCCCACTTGGTTGGCTAAGGCAAAAATCCTGGTTTCCGATCATCCCAAGTCCTATCTCAGGCAAGCCCAAGTAATCAGTTGTAAGGGAAATCAGTACCTACACTTCCAGATACCCTACTTCCTTATTTTATCTTTCCAGTTTATTACACTATCCGTTAAGGCTGACATATCCACTTCAAAAAGAAGAGAGTCGGGGCGTGGTTCCCAAGTGGATCCCATCAGCACACAGCAGTATCAGCACTACCCTGGAACTTACTAGAAACGCAAATTATCAGATTTGACCCCAGCCAGAGTTTGGATTACAAACTCTGGGGACGGGACCCAGCAATCTGTGTTTTAAGTCCTCCAGGGGATTCTGATTCTGTCCATCCCTGTTTATCACCTAAGACTGTTAGGACCAGGGACACCCATCTTCCTTCCTTTGTCCCTGGTAATAGTCCTTGTTCTCAGCTCTTTGTCCAATGTTGATATGGCCACTACAGATTTCTGAGACTGGTGTTTGCATGGAGTATCCTTTCCCATCCTTTGACTTTAACGTGTGTCTTTATTCCTTTTTTTTTTTTTAAAGATTTTACTTATTTGACAGACAGATCACAAGTAGGCAGAGAGGCAGGCAGAGAGAGAGGGGGAAGCAGGCTCCCCGCAGAGCAGAGAGCCCGATGCGGGGCTCGATCCCAGGAACTTGGGATCATGACCTGAGCCGAAGGCAGAGGCTTTAACCCACTGAGCCACCCAGGCGCCCCCGTGTGTCCTTATTTTTGAAGTGGGGTTCTCTACTCTTGAAGACAACACAGAGTTGGATCTTGTTTTTTAATTCAGCCCGGGAAACTGTGCCTTTTACTTGGCAGTGTTGAGGTCATCTACTTCTTACGTAGTTATCATACTGTTGGGTTTAAATCTACAATCTTGCTCTTTGTTTTCTGCTTGTCCTCTTACTTGTCATTTCTTTTTTCCTGTCTCCTTTTGAATTAACGGAGTATACTTTAGTATTCCACTTTATTTCAAGTATTGGCTTTTATTCTTTCTCTCTCTCTCTCTCATGGTTCTAGGGTTTATAATAAGCATCTTAAACTTACCACAGTCTACCTTCAAATACCATTATACTACTTATTTACTATAAGATTTTTACAATAGTATGCTTCCATTTCTCTTCTTCCAGCCTTTGAATTATTTTTGTCATGTTTTCCTTTTATGTATATAATAAATCCCACAACACGTTATTTTTGCTTTAAGCTGTCAGTTCTCTTATGTAAAAATTTTGAAATGATTTTTTAAAAGTCTTTTATATTTACCACTTCTGGTAAATATTCATTTGTGAATATTTATTTCATTCATTTGTGAAGACGCAATTTTTTTTTTAAAGATTTTATTTATTTATTTGACAGATCACAAGCAGGCAGAGAGGCAGGCAGAGAGAGAGGAGGAAGCAGGCTCCCCTAGAGAGCAGAGAGCCCGATGCGGGGCTCGACCCCAGGACCCCGAGATCATGACCCGAGCCGAAGGCAGCGGCTTAACCCACTGAGCCACCCAGGCGCCCCTGAAGACGCAATTTTTATGTGGTATCATTTCCTCCTACCTGAAGAGCATTTTTTACCATGTCTTGTAGATTGCTGATGAGGAATTATCTCAGCTTTTGTTTATCTGAATAAGTCTGTATATTGCCTTCATTTTTGAGGGATCTTTTTCTAGTTTGACAATTTGAAGCTGTTTAAAGATATCAAGCATTGTGCTTTCATAGTTTCCCGTAAGAGATCTGCAGTATTATTACCTTTGTTTTTTGGAATGTAATAAATCTTTTTCTATCTGCTTATATGATTTTCCCTTTATTGTTGGTTTCCCCAGTATGATTCTAAGGATTACTGGATTGAAAGACTGCTTGCTTCTGGCATAATGCATCGCTGAGTGATAGCCAAATTTTTGGTTTAAATGGGTGTCTACAAGAACTTTTCTTTGGTGGATCTATAAGGAGCTATTAAAATACCTAAACGTCCATGAATATATGGCTCTGTCATTCTTATCCTACTTTAATATTTGTGTTAGAATTATCCTGAGATAAACATAGAAGAACTGTGATCTACTAAAACCATAGACAAGAAAGGAGTTAGGGACTCTTTGGGCAGAACTAAAATAAATTCACTCTAATGGGAGGAACTTCTTAGCAAAGAAGAAACTTGAGGAAAGTGTGAAAGTGAAGATAAACCAAGTGTGGGCTTCATACTCTGAGGAAGACTTATTCAAAGATAAGGAAGGGCAACCCAGAACTTGGTAGTTTGGGTTAGAGTGTTTTCTTAAAAACAAGCAAAGAAACGAACAAATGTGGCTTACTCTCTGTCCATCTGTTCACCCACCCATCCCTTGGTGGTCCACCTACTCCCACCTCCTGATCCATCCATCCACCCATCCATCCATCCTTCTTTTCTAGTATGTACCTACTCTACCCCATGATAGTAAATTGCTCAAAACATTTAAAAATTCCTCTTATGGAATTACCTGCAGGATCATAATTTTCTTACTACCTTGTAATTGTACTTTGTTTTTGACTAAAACTGTTACCAAATATTTATCAGATTCAATGCTGAAAGACTTTTGGTTGTTTTCAAAACTTATATACGTTTATAGGAGAGGAGAAACATGCTTAGCACTTGAATTAGAATATTACAGCCCGGCCTCAAATAATCACCTAGTTGTTTTGACCTCAAAGGTCACATTGCATTGTTTAGTTTCTCTCAAATAGCTGAGTTGCAACCCAGTGTCCCCAAAGTGGCAGGATGTGTTTTTCTGTTCAGGTCATATAACACACAATAAAACTAGTGGTATCTCTTTCCCATCTCATTGGCCATTCAAGTGTACACATTTTGTATTAGCAAATGTAGCTGCTTTTTAAATTGTGGAGTTTAAATTGGACATAACCTGTGGGAAATGTCAGATAAATACTGTGTAATGTGATACTCAATGTGATACTCCAAAATACCAGTTTGCACTGAACCTAAAACCTTTTTTTCTTTCCTTTGACCTCAATCTTGACTT